AGATCGGCCGGCCCCAGATCGGTACGGGTGCAGAGCTGGCGCCCTCCTCTTCAGTCGCCAGGCCCCCGACGCTATGATCTGTGTTACGGCATGGACCCCTGGAGGTATCGACCTACTCCAGGACAGGATCTTTTTGTTCACGACGACAGGGGAGCAAACAGTATGCCATCCGCAGGTTCGACTGGTGGATTGTGCTGGGACTTTGGGACACCCCGCGATCAACGCCGTGGCCCTCCCTGTACACGACGCGCGCACGATACAAGTTGCCCGTCGCTGCAGCGGCTACCGCAAGATGCCTGGTGGCCTAGCGCTGCCCGGTGCTGCTCTGCAGTGGCAAACAAGCGTGCACTCTCGGGGGAGACCTCAACCAGCAAACGGCCGCGGTGGGTCCCATTGTCCCTCCAACCTTTGGGACTTGAAACCCAAAATCCAACCAATGGGACGCACAGAGAAATACTAATACTATGTGTCCTCCTTGGAGGCGCGCGTCCGACCCGAACAAATAGTATACCCATCTTGTAGTAGATCGTTCCCCGAGCGGTGTGACCAGAAAGCGCCCGCCACGACGCATATACTACAAGACTTCTCGGTGCGCGCGTCGCCCCTGGGGGGACGAACCACAGATCGTACCAGCATGTTGGGGTGACGCCGAACCAAGCCCCACTCAGCATGTGCGGGGGCGACTCTCTCTTGCGTCTGAGCTGGTTTTTTTGCCGGTCCCGGAAGCCCGGCGAGGGCACCCAAAGAGGCCTCCCAAACGGAGTCCGAGCTGATGGGGTCAGAGGATCACGCCGCATCGCCAATGTATCGGCGATGCATCGGCGATGCACCGTCGACGTCGGCGATGCATCGGCGACGTCAGCGTGGAGAAAATCGGGCTCAACATCGAGCAGCCTTGCCGATGCACGAGCGATGCGGCGCAATCCTTCGACCCCTCCTACTCGAGCCGAATTTCCCAGACACGAGGCATCCTGATTTGTTCAATACGTGGTCCCCAGAAGTCCCGACGCTTTCCCCATGGTCAGATGTTCACCCCGAGTACTTTTGTTGGCGGTCCTGGGGCCTGGCAAGGGCCCCCAGAGGCCGAAAATGAAGAAAACATTATGATTATCCAAGGCGTTACTTGTCTGGGTTGGGAGGCCTGGAGTCACCCACAGTGTGCAAACAACCGAGTACCTTCGAGGCTTGGAAATTGGTACCAACACCAACACACGGGTGCCTCCACCGATGCTGAAAAATCCTATAGCTGGTTGTTGGTGGCAATCGTTCGGTCACCTAGGAAGCCCGACTAGAAGCTGTTTTCTGCAAACTCAAGCAGATTCACTTGCATGGCATTCCCACCCGCTCCCTCCACAGCCTCTTCAAACGAGGCTGGGCCGAACAGGCGTGCAAATGAATCCCGACTTGCGCGAAGTCGAATTTTTCTTCCGGGCATCGCAACGTCCCCCCCAAGCTCCTCCACGCAGATAAATCAGCAACAGTCCAGAGGAAAACCGCCTTAGATCACCGCCACGAGTTCGGTGGCAACTCCATGGGAGCCGCCCCGCCTTGTTGGCTCCTGCGAGGGAGCCCGATCCACCGTCGCCGGCCGGAAAAAAACGCCACAACGGGAGGGTCAGAAACAAGGGGGTCTCCCCCCTTTCCGCCCCTGAGAAATCAGACGGGGGGGTCAGAAACGAGGGCCCCCCCCCCCCCCCTCCCCCCTGACCCCTGCCTCACCCCGCAAAGAGCCGAGGAGTCCCAACCCCCCCGCCCTGGGAAAATACGGGTCCAAAACCCCCCCATAGAATTACTCGAGGGGTCTAGAGGCCCCCCCCCTGGGCGACGACGACGACGACGACAACGACGACGTCGCCACCGCTGACAAAAGACGCGGACGACGACGACGACGACGACGACGACGACGACGACGACGACGACGCCTACGACGAAGCCGACCACTGCGACAGCGTCGACGGCGGCGGCGGTGCATCTGTCGCGGACGCCCGCGCCAGGGGACGACTCCAACAGAATAGCACTCAGGCTCGATCCGACTCTAATCCGGCGGCCACCGTTTGGGGCCACCAGGCTCCGCGGATTAGGCTTGCTGCTCCCTGCGCCAGTTCCAATTTCCACTCCCCAATGTGATAGACCTGCTCTCTGCTTCCCGCTTTGAATTGTTGAAATCCCCGCGAGGGGGGGGGAGCCGAAAAGGGCCCTGGTTATCTCCACTTGGGGGGGGTACGAATTTCTGGGGGCTCCTGGGACGTGTAAAAATACATGAGATTCGCGCCCCCGCAGCCATGATCACTTACACCGTATTCGCGTCCCCGAGGCCTTAAACCCGCGCAACTGACGCTGTGTTCGCATCATCGAGACCATACATCTTAGTAAAGTATGCAATATTCGGATCTCCGAAGCCATACCTTTTCAGACATTACGCAATATCTGCGCCCCCGAAGCCACGATCCTTCGTAAATGACGCGTTCTTCGCGTCCCCGAAAATACAGGAGGCCTTCGAGACGGCCCAAAAGTGCTGCTGGGCGCCCAAGATGCTCCCAAGACGGCCCAAGAGGCTCCCAAGAGGCCCCCGAGAGCGCTCCAAGAGCAACCCCAAGAGGAGCCCAAGAGGTCAACATCTACGATTTTCCTTTAGTTTTTGATGGATGTTAGTACGCTCGCCTTTTGGGGCTTCCGACGCTCCAAGACGGCCCAAGAGGCCCCAAAAATCCGCCCCAAGACGGCCCAAAAGCTCCCAAGAGCGCCCCAAGACGGTTCAAGAGGGCCCCGAGACGGCTCAAGAGACCCCCAAGAGGGCCCCAAGACGGCCCCAAGAGTGACCCGAGACGGGGGACCCAAACCCAAGTGGCCCCCGTTCGGAGTTCCGAAGCTGCATCACGACAGCGCCCAGGCCTCACAACATGGCTCTTGCATACCCATTATCCGAGAGAGGGAGCCGGCGGCAGGGGGCGAAGCTCTTACGGACAGAATCGTGTTAAAAGCTGTTCCGCCAAAGTAAAAAGCCTACTAGGGCTGGATCCAGCTCCAATCAGGTCCTACCAGGGTTCGATCCAGCTTTGATGGGAACCTACCAGGGTTGGATCCAGCTCACCAAATCCGGCTACTAGGGTTGGATCTACCTCTAATGGGATCCTAACGAGGTTCAACCAAGCTCTAACATAATCTTCAAAACTAAAAGACTCTCACTAGTTGTCGATCCAGCTCCAATACAATCCTTTTGGGGCTGGATCTAACTGCAATGGAAAGCGCATAGGGCTGGATCCAGCTAGCCGCCGCCGCCGTCGTCGTCGACGTCGTCGTCGTCGTCGCCGTCGTCGCCGCCGCCGTCGTCGTCGTCGTCGTCGTCCGCGTCGTCGCCGTCGCCGTCGCCGTCGCCGTCGCCGTCGCCGTCGCCGTCGCCGTCGCCGCCGCCGCCGCCGCCGTCGTCGTCGTTGCCGTCGTCGTTGTCGTCGTCGTCCGCGTCGTTTGCAGGCGGCGGCGACGTCGTCGTCGTTGCCCAGGGGAGGGCTGGATCCCTCGAATAATTGTCCCAGTGAGTGGGGGGGGGTCTGGCACCCCCCCCTCCCCCCTGCCAGCAGCGGCAGAAAGCGTTCTTTCGCCCTTCCGCATCGACGCTAATCGACGCCAGTCGACGCCCATCGACGCTAACTCGACGCTCATCGGCGCCAGTCGACGCGAGCCGACGCTGAATCGGCGCTACCCCATGGATTACCAGACGCTGATCGGCACGAACGCACTCTCAAGACGGAACTGCGAGGGCCCACGAGGCTCCCACATGACATGCTGCCGCAGGATCGGGGGCGTTCTCCCTCGGTGGAGGCACACCACCGGCATTGATGCTGGTGCCAACGCCTGGCCCTCCTCCTCCTCCTCCTCCTCCTCCTCCTCCTCCTCCTCCTCCTCCTCCTCCTCCTCCTCCTCCTCCGCCTCCTCCTGGCCGTCCGCACGAGAAGCCCAGCGAGGCGAGCAAGGACTGCGTCTGCACGGAGCGGATGCCGAGGGCCCACCCGGCCAGCGTGGCCAGCGCGGTGCAGACCTGCGGGCGCCGCCCCGCCCGCCGCCCGCCGCCCTGTGAGATCCTGGCGCCCCCAACTCTTCCGAGCCGGGCGCTCCTCGCCGGGCCTCGGGACCGGAGACCTCCACAGACCGATCCGCCTCGAGAAGTGGCGCAGCAAAGGTGGGATCTTCGGCGGTGGACAGACCTCCCTTCAGCCTTTACTAAACCTCCCCTTGGTGAAAACGGCCTGGGGCCGAAATCGACGCCCCGGGACCCGCAAAGATGACGGCCGCGACGCCCTCTCGCGAACCGAACACGGCCAATGCACTAATCGACGTGTCAGGGTAGGAGGACTATCAACCTCTGGGATCTGGGGCTCCAGCCGTGAGCTGTTGCCTCGCTGCACCTTCTCTGCAGCGTGGGATCTGCGGGCGCTGGCCCGCCGGCGGTCCGCCGGCGGCCCTCCGGCGGCCCTCCGGCTCCAGAACAGGCCCCCAGCTTTTCCCTGCTGCTGCTCTCCTCCTAGCAAGCAAGCACGCAAGCAAGCAAGCAAGCAAGCAAGCAAGCAAGCAAGCAAGCAAGAAGTCATACACCCGGAGGCGCGTAGGACACTGGACTGGAAAATGTCAAAGTTCAACCCACTCTTGGCTAATGAAGTTTCCTGGGGGCAATTCGCACGCTCAGCAAAGCTGACCGTATAGCGCCACGCGGTCCGAATTTGAGTTTTTTTTAGTCAGCAACATTTTCTCCTCCAGACTCAGGCAACTTCACTTGCATGGCATTTCCTCCCCCCCCCGCCGCCTGTTCAGGCAGAGCTGGGCCGAAGACGAGCGCAAGTCAATCCCGACTTGCGCGGAGTCCAGATTTCCTCTCGGGCCTCGTCAAGGCCCCCCCCCTCCACGCAAGCAAACGTGCCAGAATCCAGCGAAAAAACTGCCTCGGAACAGCCCTCCGATTTTCCCAGAGGGCACCACGAGGCCCCGAGTGGCCCCGAGTTGGAGGCGGCTGGGAGGTCTGAACTGGTTGGGACCCCGGGGAATCGGTCGCGAGGGGGGGGGGATGAGGCCAACTCCTCTCAAAATCGGTCCCCAGACCCCTCCTCTAGTGTCCAGCTGGTCCAACTTTTCATCCTGGATCCGTCGTTCACGGCCCTTGGGCCCGAGAACGGCCCATGGAGACGGAAAAAGCCAAGACACCTTCCCGAAACCAAAATCTCGACCCTACCCGCCCTGCCTGCTGGCCGGAACCAGTGCTGGGCCACCGCAGACCACCAAGCCCCGAGAGGGCCCCGAGGCAGGCCATGCTCTCGAGGCGAAGGCGTTTCCGCCCCCGCGCTGGCCAAGTCTGCCCCGCTTCTGCCCATCGGGTCCACTTCCCCAATCAGAGCTTGCCTCTGTAGGGGTCCTAGCGGATTCATATGGTTAGGTTAGGGTTGTCGCCTATGGCCCAATAGCTCTATAGCCCTATAGCTCAATAGCCAATGGCCCTATAGCCCTATAGCCCCCTAGCCCGATAGCCCTGATTCGGTTGTTTCTCCGGTATCATTTCGTACGGTAGGTTCGCGCGGCGTCGGCACGCGCAAAGGTTTTTGACACCGCGTCGATCGTTCAACCTTTAATCGATCGCGGTCCAATCGCTCAAGGTTGAATTCCGTCGGGTCCAATGGCGTCACCGTGTCCATCGGTGCTTCCGCGTCGCAGAATTGAACCTTGAACGCATTCCCTGGCGTCGCCGGCGCACCAACGCCGCGTGAATCCACCTCTTGCTTGAGCTCTCGGGACTTTTTGCCCTTGTCCTCGCCGATTTCTCGCTCAAGATGTGGGGCCCCTGAGAAGAAAGCCTGTGTAGGCGCAAGAGGCCCCAAGACTGCCAAATACCGCCCCAAGATCGCTCTCCGAGCCCTTTCTGGCCGATCCCAAATTACCACAAAGGCCCACGATGCCCACAAGGCCCCAGGAGACCCCAAAGCCCCAAAATGGCCCCATGGACCAGGAGGACCCTGCATCCTCGTCACCGTCCCTCCCTGCTGCCTTCCGCTATTGCTCCTCTCCGTCTTCTGGCCATTTGGCGTTCCCGATGCTGCACGATGCCCGCAAGGTCCCAAGAGACCCCAAAGCCCCCAGATGGCCCCACGAGCCAAAAGGACCCTGCATCCTCGTCACCGTCACTCCCTGCTGCTTTCTCCTACACTATTGCTCCTCTCCGTCTTCTGGCCGTTTGGCGTTCCCGATGCTCGTGCCAGGGCTCCAGCTAAACAGTGTTGTCCGTTTTCGTCTTGTTTTCGTTATCCCTCGATCTGTATTCGTTCCGTCTTTGCGGCAAAACGGAATCGAAACGAAAACGGTCCACGAGATTGCCAAAACACCGTTTAGCTCGAGCCCCGGTTCGCGCATCCCCTCGCCCTCACAGCCCCCAGAGCCCAAGCCCACACCAAAAAGCTGCGCGTCCCCACTCCCTCTGGTGTTTCTACTGCGCGACGCCTCCTCTACCAGGTGGCGACCCCCCTCGCCCTCGCAGCCCCCAGAGCCCAAACTGGCATCAAAAAACTAAGCGTCTCCACTTTCTCTGGTGTTCCTACTACCCGACGCCCCCTCTACCAGGTGGAGATTGGAGGCGGGGGTAGGGCTCGCATTTCATCACACGAATTCCGAACCCTACCTCCGCCGCCCATCCAATTGCTTGAATCGTTGATCGCCGAGCGTAGAATCCCAACTTCGCCGAGAAGTAGAAGGCCTCAGAAGGCGGCGGGGTTTCTCAGAAGCCCTCTGGCCTTCTGAGGGGCTTTCTGCGTCTCCGGGGAAGCCTCCGACGCTCTCTCAGAAGGCCGCAGCCCTCCCGAGCCTTCTGGCAGTGGACCAGGAGACAAACGACTCCACCCCACCTGCGGCCCCACGGGGCCGAGCGTGTACCAGGAAAGATGGCGCTGGCTCCTGCGTGGTATACGCTACGGCCCCGATGGGCCGTAGCGCAACATTGAAGGGGCCCTGAGACACACAAATAAATACACACAAATCAAAGGATTCCCCATGTTTTCCCATATCTTCTGGGTGCTTGTCTTCCCCCCCACTTCCCATATTTTCAAATATTTCCGTGGGAATCGACGATTCATTGTGTCTGCGTGTTTTTTCCCCTCCTGAAACATGCAAAGGACGCAGATTGGGGTGGTGGCCCGCTCGGGCGGGCGAGCGCGCCCTCCCGCGCGCGCGGCTGGCCTCCCCCGCGAGGGCGGCGCCCGCCGAGACAGAGCGGCGCGCCGCCGGGGAGGGCGCCCGGTGGACTTCCCGCCGCCAGGCCGCCGCGGAGGCGCGCGCGCGCCCCGAGGAGCGCGCGCGAGTGCCCGCCCTCGCCCTCGTGCCTGGCCTCGCCCGCCCCCCCCCCCAGGCCGCCGCCAGGCCGCCGCGGAGGCGCGCGCGGGTGCCCGCCCTCGCCCTCGTGCCCGGCCTCGCCCCGCCCCGCCCCCCAGAAGCGGCCCCAGTCGACCCCCAGGGCTCGCCGACGGACGACGACGACGCCGACGACGACGACGACGACGACGACGACGACGACGACGACGACGACGACGACGACGACGACGAACGACGAACGACGACGACGACGACGACGACGACGAACAACGAACGACGACGACGACGACGACGACGACGACGACGACGACGACGAGACACGCGCCTGTGGTGAGAAGCGTGACGCACTAGGCGGGTGGGGCTGATACATCATGCGCTGAAGGAAAATATGCCGGTGCACCGGGGATTTACATCTTCTTGCAATGGTAATGTCCACGGTCTGTCAGCCAACATTCTCTGTGACCTTCCCACGATTCGCCTTCCCAGATGATCTTCTTCCAATATTCTCCCCATGGTCGAGTAAATTGCTGATCGGAGCGCCAGGTTTCAAATTCCCAACCATCCTGTGGTGTTGGGTCCTCGTTTTGAAGAGACAGCGCCCCGCGTCACACTCCTCCTCCTCCCCCTCCTCTCTTCTCCCTCCCCCTCCTCCCCCTCCTCCCCCTCCTCCCCCTCCTCCTTCCTCCCTGCGTTGCACCCACCCAGTACAACGCTTCGTGGCCCCATAGGGAGCTGCACCGAAGACCACAATGCCACCGCCCACATGCGTCACCCACACCCATTTCGGCACACCCCTCACACGTTTCGTGGCTTCATAAAGAGCTCCACCGAAGGCCCCAGTGCCACCGCCAGCATGCGTCACCCACACCCATTTCGACACACCCCTGACACGCTTCGTGACCCCATAGGGAGCTCCACCAAAGGCCACAGTGCCACCGCCCGCATGCGTCACCCACACCCATGTCAGCAGTCAGCACACCCCTCACACGCTTCGTGGCCCCATAGGGAGCTCCACCGAAAGCCACAGTGCCACCGCCAGCATGCGTCACCCACACCCATTTCGGCACACCCCTCACACGTTTCGAGCTCCACCGAAGGCCCCGGTGCCACCGCCAGCATGCGTCACCCACACTCGTTTCGGCACACCCCTCACACGTCTCGTGGCCCCATAGGGAGCTCCACCAAAGGCCACAGTGCCACCGCCCGCATGCGTCACCCACACCCATGTCGGCACACCCTTCGCGCGTTTTGTGGCCCCATAGGGAGCTCCACCAAAGGCCAGTGCCACCGCCCGCATGCGTCACCCACACCAAGGTCGGCACATCCCTCACACGTTTTGTGGCCCCATAGGGAGCTCCACCAAAGGCCCCGACTGCCACCGCCTGCATGCGTCACCCACACCCATTTCGACATACCTCTCACGCGCTTCGTGGCCCCATAAGGAGCTCCAACGCAGGCCCCGGTGCCACCGCCTGCATGCGTCACCCACACCCATTCCGGCACACCCCTCACACGCTTCGTTGCCCCATAAGGAGATGGACCGACGGCGCCAGTGCCACCGCCCGCATGCGTCACCCACCCCCATTTCGTCACACCCCTCGCACCCTAGGGAGCTCCACCGAAGGCCCCAGTGCCACCGCCCGCATGCGTCACCCTCGCACATTCTGGCACACACCTCCCGCGTTTCGTGGCCCCATAGGGAGCTCCACCGAAGTCGCCAGTGGCTGCGTTCGCATGCGCCCACCGCACCTATTTCGGCACACCCATCACACGTTTCGCGGCCCGGGAGTTTCATCGACGGCCCCAGTGGCTACGTTCGCATGCGCCCACCGCACCTATTTCGGCACACCTCTCACGCGCTTCGTGGCCCCATAGGGAATTCCACCGACGGCCCCAGTGGCTGGTTTCGCATGCGCCCACTAGACAAATTGTGGCACACCCCTCACACGCTTCGTGGCCCTATAGGGAGCTCCTCCGAATGCGGTGCATACAACGGCGGTGCTCATAACTGCATATGGTTGGGTCCTTCGCCAGGCTAATTTTTTGCCATGGCACTTGGCTCCCAAACCTCTGTTCCAGCTTTCGTAAGTAAAAGCGGTCACGGTACTGGAGTGCCTTGAGCGCGTACCAGTCCGGCACCCATTTGGCGAACCTTGCGACGCGACCTCTCCAAGTATACACTCTGATAAGAGTTTCTGCACTCCAGCGTCGAAGTTTGCACGTGTTGCGATAATAATTCAAGAGCTTCGCTGTAGCAGTCATGTACTTGCGGGCAGATCCTCGTCCACCATCCCTGTCGGGAAGACCTTGTACCCCAAGATGCGTCGCATCATGGCGTCCTCGGTAGGGCGCAAACGTCCGAAGTGGCGTTGTGTAAGGTTGCAACTCCCGATGTTGTACGGTAAAACAGGCAAGACAAACTGCCTTAAGCTGGAAAGCGTTGCCAGAAAGACCCGCTCCGACTTATGAGTAAACGTCGATGCTTGTAAAAAGATGCCCAAGCGCGTGCCATCGGCAGTCGGCCTCGCAAGTGAAATCCCCGTTGAATCCGACCTGGGAACCCAAGACTTTCAGAGACTCTGTACGCTCCACCTTTTTGATAGTCTTGAACATCCTTGTTTTTGATCAAGCACGGGTGCTTCGCAATCGATTTCCAACCTTCGGGAACAGGCACGACAAAGTCCGGCAAGGCTCGTGGAGTAAAGTTCGTCCAAACGCTCTCTGTCAAATTGACCATGAAGCCGGCTGTCCACAGGAGGGAGGTCTAATTGAGGACCATTGCCTTCAGCTGGACCAACGAAGGTGCCAGGAGCCAAAAGCTTTCAGCAACACACAAAAGAGGTAGACGCTCGGTGTTGCACCGCGTGCTACTGGTTGGCAGCCTCTCAAAAGCATCGCCAAAAACAGCCAAATCCTCGTGTTGCAGTTTGAGGCCCGAATAATCAGGATGGGCATGGGCCAAGAACGGCTTGACCACGCTACTGTCGAAGACGAGTTTGAAAGCCTTGCATTCCTCGGGGTCGCCCGGAACATACCCGGGCTCTGAAAACCGGACGGTTCAAGGGGACGTCAGGCAGCTCAGCCCATCCAGCGGAACCACGAACTTCTCGAATCTGAGCTGATATCACGGGCCGCGGAACCCCTGCCTTGTCGAATGCGTTAGCCCAAACGCCATGCTCGACCGAATCGTACGCCTTGTAGACGTCACCGTCGTACACGTAAGAGTCTTCCTGCCACTCAATTGCTTCTCCACCAGTTAGTGCAGAATGAACACGACTTCCTCTGCTTGGTACGAGCTGCGATATGCAAACTTGTCTTGTTCAATGACGACTGCGTGAAGTGAGCCAATGCCAGATAGCATCATACTGTAGATTCTGCGGACGACTGCAAGAACGGGGACTGGGCGCCATTCGCGGATAATTGTCGGATCAACGGTCTTCTCGATGATGGTGATCTCATGCCACGAAAATGTATCATCAGAATCAGCATCTGCATAAAGCATCCGTCGCACAAGAATGTCAGGCAAGACTTCGAAAGCGCCCTCGGGTATGTCCTGGATAATCTCCGCCACTACGCAGTCCGCCTTCGAGCACGATTTGTCCCGCATGAGCCTGACGACGACGACAACGACGACGACTCTCAACTCAACTCAAGCTCGTGGAGTCCCTGCAATCCTGATGCACTGCGATACGCATGACTGCACAGGAAGGCTGAGCTGAGGGGGAGCACCTGTAGAAATTACTGCAGGTAGCTCCAGCGAAACTGTGCAGCGACGACGACGACGACAACAACTCGAGCCATCATCGTCCCAGCCGGACCCCGCGGTCCCAGTACACTACCAAACGGCCAGACCCCGCCCTCGTCCGGCACGCTTAAACACCCTCCGGCCTGCGAGCCGCAGCCCCTGACCCAGGCCGAAGGGGAACGAACAAAAACCGCAGCTGGCTGCGCCTGGCCGCCTTCGCGGTCGGGCGAGCGCAAGGCGAAGACGCTGTGCTGCCGGAGGAGGGGGAGGAGGAGGAGGACGAGGGCAGGGAGGAGAGAGGAGGAGGAGGAAGAGGCGGAGGAAAAAGCAAGCGAAAAACAACACACTGCGAACGAACGCATGCGGCATCGCGCGTGGCCCCGCATGCGGCATCGCGCGTGGCCCCAGAGCCTCCGCGCCTCCTCGCCGCCCGCCCGCGATCCTCGAGGGGCAGCCCGCACGCGCGCGGGGAGGGCGCGGCCTGGATGGCCGGGCCCTCCATGCCCAGGGAGCCGCCGGTGCCTGGGCGCGCGGCGGCCGCGCTGGGAGTGCCGCGAAGGGATCCCAAGAGGCATCCCTGAGAACTCTGACCCACAACCCAGGTACGGTGGCAGCATGGGCCGAAGACCATGAGATCCGCCGCCCCCTGCTTGCAGGGGTGCACGGCGTGCTGGACGATTCAGGTTTTGGTTTTGGTTCTTTTTCTAAAAGAACTCCCCAGTGGGCTTCGGCCCGTCCCGCCGGCCACCCGTAAATCTCACAAAACCCATCTGTCAATGCCCAAAAACGGCCGTTTCGCTCGGGACATCCTCAAAAAATCGCGAAGATGGCCCAAGATGGCCTCCAAGTCCGCCCGAGATGGTCCAAGACGGCCTCCAAAACGGCCCAAGAGAGTCCAAGACGGCCCAAGACGGCCCAAGAGGCCCCCCAGAGGCCTCCCAGACGGCCCAAGAGGCCTCCAAGAGGTCCTCCAGGAGAGTCCGAAGAGGCCAAAATCATTGATTTTCCCTTGGTTTTTGAAGGATTTTGGCATTTGCGCCTTTTCGTCTCTCCGACGGCTCAAGACGGCCCAAGAAGCCCCCAAGATCGCCCAAGAGGCCCCCAAGAGAGCCCCATGATGGCCCAAGTGGCCTCCAAGATGGCCCCTAGAGGGCCCCACGAGGGCCCAAGAGGCCTCCAACACGCCCAAGATGGCCTCCAAGACGCCCAAGATGGCCTCCAAGACGGCCCTGGAGCATTCC